GGGACTGGAAAGTTAATTGCTAAATGACACAATTAATGCCGAGCCAGTGCCGAGGCGAAAAAGGCCACAAGAACATGGCCGCAGCCACAGCCACGCCTCCATAGCCCCTCCAAGATAAAAAAAAACGGACGCCCACGCGGGCACAATTGACAGTTCGGGGCTAACGGAGGCGGCTTAACCTCAAGATTAATGTACGGCAATTAAACGTTTAAGTGTTGATTAATGTGACTTTCCGTTTGGAGCCGAGATCCCATCCCGGGCACCCGGCCAGCTGCTCAGTCTGATTGTCAATCTCGGGGTGAAGAAAACTCAAGCTGTTTTTTTGGCCCACTCTTTTGACCCGATTGTTTTTTCGTCTTGATCTTTTCAACCTTCTTGGAATTTTGGTTTTTTTTTATTAAAAAATTTTAGGAGACTATGAAAAAAGTGAATTTATTTACAGCCTAGAGACAAGTAATCACTTAATGGATAGTCCACGAAACAAAAAATAAAGGAATCTTGGGAAAAAATAAAACTTATCTAGATGTTAGTCCTTAAATAAAATCTTCTATTTTTATACTAAAAATGATTAAAATATTAGATAGACCTCCTACGAGCATTTCTCTTGGTGACTTGGTAGAGAAGTTCGGTTGGCGAATTCGGGTTGCCATAAATTCCTTGAGTAGGCACTGCAACAACTCAAACTCAACGGCAAAGACATTCGCATTTATCATCTTTACGGGTTAACTGCCAAAAATGCTTTGAGGCGGTGGCTGGAGAGTGGGCTGAGTGGGCGTGGTTGGTTAGCCAGGCCAAAAGGGAAAGGGAAAGAATGGAGGAAGGGGGACTAAGAGCAAACAGAGTGGAATTGCTCCATGCCTCACCAAATCCACAAAGTCAAACAATGTTGTATGCCTTACTAGTTTTATCATTGCCATTCCCATTCTCCACTCTCTCGAGGAGGACCTTCTCCCCTAACGTCCCCCAACGTTTTTCCTCATTTTCTTTTATCCTAGGGTTTTTCCTGGGAAATTCCACTGCTGCTGTTACTGCGGTTGATGCTGATGCTACTGCGTTTATCTTGTTGAGAAAGGTGAGCAGAACATGAAGCATAAACTATGAATGTCAGATAAACAGCCGTCACTTTGGCCAGAAAAGAAGAAAACCAAAAAGGATCTGAAGGGTTCGCATTAGTGGGTGAGCGCATTTTAAAACCATTAGGTTTGTCCAGCTTTGGCCGAAATCCTCCGTCCAGACCAGGACCCCGGTCCACGGTCCTCCATAAAAACCCGGACTTTATTGGCTCTGAAAAGCATGGCATACTTTGACGCAATCGTAAATAACCATGCAACCGGCTGGGGAGAAATAAAAAATGTTATTTGATTTGCCACGGAAGCGGGAAATATCAAACAATTTTCAAATCGTAATAAAACTGTCATATCGTAGGAACCTAAAATGGGATTTACAATCTTCTATTGTAGAGCCAACAAACCCGAAAAAAACTTAAACAAATAGTCCTTTATTATGACTACATGGCATTAAGAATATTTAATTTGCAAGTTTTACTTGCTTCTTCTTATTTGGAAAATCTGTGATTGCTGTTGGTCCTTTGCAAGGATACAGCATCCATACATTCAGTGCTGGAACAGATTTATCTCTCCGGCAATAAAATATTCAAGACACAAGCATATCAAGTTACGATTTTGCTTGTCCTTGCACTTTTTCTACCAATTTCACAAATTCCCATCAACTTTGTTCCTTGCTGACAGCCAAGAGGGCGAGCAAGAGAGAGAGAGAAGAATTCCCCTTTTGAAGGATTCCGAAGCAAGGATACAATAGGAAGTTCTCGTGGCTGGCAAAACAAAACGACTGGCAGAGATTACTGAAGCATTTTGGCTGATTTTCAAATTAAATTTTAATGAATCCAAATCCAAGCACACACATACTGGCAGGGAACTGAAAAGTGTTTTTGCGTCAACGAATTTTGAAATCTCCAGAGCGCCGACTGCCAGTCCAACTGTCTGTCGGTTGCATCCAAAACGACCCTAAAGATCCATCCACTTTTCATGGCCCTTGTATCTGTGTGTAGCTCCGCCGATTCCACTCAAATATTTATCAGCCCAAAAAAAAACATACCTCTCCTAGTGCGAAATGCAAAACTGCAAAATATTTTTACGGCATGTTCATTCACTAAATTAGTTGGAGCATACATCCTTTAGATACGATGTAATGCTGCCGCTGATGATGATGATGATGAGTGGTGGGTGGCCGATTAATTGATAGCGAGTTTCGCAAATGAATTTCCATTGTTCCCATTTTGGCCACAATGGCTGAACTGTAAGCTGCAAACCAGTACAGAAGCGGGAACAGGAACTGGTAGAGGAACTGGCACATAACCAGCATCGGGAACAGGTAGCGGGCAATTAAAAAGGCTGAAGGAAGTATTTCGCCTGTGATTCTGATTCAGCGCCACCATTGTGTGGCAGCGCTGATGTCTTTAATTAAATTTGCCTTTAGCCGCAAATCCTTTTATGCCGGCGCCATTTTGCTTTGGGTTCCTTTGGCATTTGACTTTCCCTTTTTTCCCCCATTTTCTTCGCTCTGTGTGTGTGTTGGTGGGTGTGTGGATTCCAAGGATGCAACCGCATTTGCCCCCGAGGACGGGCATCCCACAACTCCAGAGAACAAGAACCGAGAGCGGCATCTTGTGATTTATTATTAAACATGAATATGAATTCCAGGATGGGCTAGGCGAGAAAAAGAAACCGCTGCCAGAAGCGGTACCAGGACCTGTTGGCATTTTTATGCCAGTGTTTTTATGATTAATTAAAATTTATGCCCTTGCGAATTATGCTTTCATAATTTCCCAACATCCCAACCCAGCGCCAACCATGCACGCCTATAAATATTCCTATTCAGCGCCGGGGCATCAATGCCATCAAGTGGTGTGGTTCAGATTAAGAGGATTGCCATAAAGAGGAACCCAATTTGGACAGGACAACTAATTGGGGGCAGGTCTTGGGGGGCAGCGAGTGACGCGGAAAATGGAATGGAAAACTATGCCGAATGGCAAGGTCGCCTGGCATAAAAAAAAGAAAGCCACAAGGAAAAAACAAACACGGAAAGCGAAGCGCATTTCATATTTATTAAAGCAATAAAATAAAGTAGCAACCGGCACGAGCTGTTGGCCAGATAACGTGTCAGGGCCCAAAAGAAATATCACTGTGACACCCACACACCTCCCAAGCAATCCACCCACACACGCACCCATGTCCTGGCACACACACACACACTCACACACATAAATTCCTAGAGAGAGCGAGCCTGGGCTATTGTGTTGCTTTGGTTGTGGTTAACGTGCAAATTTGTTGGCCCCCTCCCGAAGGACGATTGGCCTACGCTGTGGCCTATTCCCGGATCCCTGGGCAAGGATTTCAAACGAATAAGTAAGAAGGGACGGGGCCATAAATTTAAAATTAACCCTTTAGGAGCACAGCTTTTGACCTTCACCCCCTGGGCATAAATCCGGGGGTGAAGATCTCCTTAAAGCCGTTTTGGCCATTTCCATTTCCGTTTCCAGCTGGCGAAATTAATCGCATTTGCAGGTGGCTGTTTGGTCTGTGGCCCGATGCCCGAGGCCCTTTGTGAATTTTAAATCGGTTAAAATAATTTCATTTCATTTCTGTCTGATTAATTAATTGAATGAGTTTCGATTCTCCATTGAAATGAAATAATTCCAGCATATTGGATTGCAACTGATCCGGCAAGCGACTTGTCAATGTTGCACACCAAGACCAGGACCGGGAACAGGACCAGGAGCAGGAGGAAAGGCATCCAAGGAAAAGCAACAGCAACACGCCAAACAATAATAAATAAAATGGGGAAAACACGATGTTGCCCTAGGCCTCTCGGAACACGGCCGTAAAGGAAGTCGAATAAAAACAGAAATAAGCGAAAAGAGCCGAGGGCCAACGATGAATGGAGGAGGAATAAAAATGGAGGAACGCGACGCAGGACGAAGGGTATGTCCTGTCGAATCCTGTCGAGGCGAAGGCAGGTTCAAGTGGCTCCTTCGTCCCAGTCAAGACAATTCGAAAAATGCTTTTAAAAGGAAATCAGTAAAGGAATTTCGCTTATGGGCAACTGATTGTGCCATCGAATCGGGCAGAAAGTTGAACAAGTGCGGAACCAAGTACGACGTAAACGGGAAACGGAAGGAAGAGAATGCCATTTTTTTTTTTTTGTATTTTTTGTATTTTGTTTCTGGCTGCCACACTTGGAAAATTGAATTGTTTTAGATTTTCCTCCATTTTCTCCATAAGAGGGCTATCGGCGTGGTCCATTTCGGGCATGCGAAGCGAATAAATCAAATTGGATTTTCTTGTGCACTTAATTCCGAACGGCCAATCGGAAGTAAACCCAAAACTCAATCAACGCTCCCCAAAAACAAAAGTTCATTAAGTAGGCTGCCGGCTAAATGTTCATCAGTATATATATATATCTCTAATAGCCAATATCTCTTAGAATCTCTCCAAATTTGTTCGAAATCCTTCTAAAATGTCGTACATTAGTAAACTGGTAGGCAGCAAGGACTCTATAAAAGGACTCAATAGCTGCTGTTATTTTTTCGACTTGAAAACGGGCTGCAAGCTGATCGCTTTGTTTGACGTTCTCATCGCTTTTTTGCAAATCTACAGGATTACCGTTTTCGAAACGGTGGAAATGACCACTTCTTCTGAATCACCCAGTTTGGGTGATGGGCTCCAGGCCACAAGGGAACCAGAGGTGGATATGTTCGGTGCTCCATTGACCACAAAACTGCAAGTTGACAAAATGGATTCTTATTGGCTAAGGGTCCTCTGCTGTGTTACCTTGCTGAAGTCCATATTGCTTTTGGCAGGAGCACAATGGGTGAGTTGTCTTGAAACCCTAGACCTTAAGGAGCTTAATAATTATGTTATATACTTTTATAGGATCATATACTCTGCCTCGTAGCTTGGATGCTCATCACCGCTTTTTCGGGAAGCTTAAACTTTTTCTACCACCTTTTCGGTGAGATTGATTTCTTTGTTGTTCTAACCCAATCCCTTACAGCTGGTGAGTATGGCCCCAAAATTCAGTAATTAAATAATAGTTTAATATATTTATTTAGGCATTCAAATGTACTGCGGTCTGGTTGTTTATTCATTAACCAAAAAGATATGGAATAAACGAAATGACTTTGCCTCGGAAGTGGAAGTTCTATACTCCCATGGTTCAGAGGCTTCAATATTCAGCATTTCCTCGCCTTAAATGTTTAAAAATCGTATATTTTAGACTATTTGTAAACAAGCAATAGCAATAAAATAATTATTTAATCTTAGATTAAAAACGAGTAATAAAATTAGAATTATTTAGACTAATTAGATAGATAAAGCTATTAAACGTGTTGATCGTTTGTCAAAAATAGATAACATGCCTGGCCACTACAACCAATTTTTGAGCTAAATATGCACAGATTGCTACTTAAACATGCTATTATTATGGCTAAGTAATTGCATTTGCATTTGCGTTTAAACGCGGCGCATCGCGAATAAAATTCATTCTATATACTAAATCCATATGTTTGCATATATGGGGCTCTGGGGCTGGGTCGCTCCGGGTATCTCTCAAAAATTGATTGCACTGGCAAATTGAACAGGAACAGGAAACAAAAGGCCGAAATGCTCGTTATCGCGATTAATATTGGTCTAGCGCGCATAACGAGTATTTCATCGCCGAAAATTGAAACCAAATATTGAAAAATATCGAATTTATTCTTACTTTGGCGTACGGCGATTTTTTGGGCGGCTCTCGCGAGGAGCTGGCCGCCGCCGCGGAAGTGGGCGTGCCGCGCTTGTTAGTGCGATTCTTTTTCAGAACGATAACGCGCATGGTGGGCAGATATATTTATATATGTACGGGTATTTATATATATATATATTACGCTTATACGATTGTGTGTTTTTGGGGGGAGCTGTGTTGTGTGTGGATATGGAGATGTTGTGGGTGTTGTGCGCTTTGTTACTGATACTGATATTTTTCGCAAATTTTGGTTATTTCTATTTGGATATTTTCTATACAATTTCGCAGTGATGTCCGTGCCGTATTTGAAATATTTTTTTTTTGTTGCTAGTCTCTTATTTTGTTAAGTGTTTGGCAATTTCGGGGTGCCGTTCACAAACGGTTTTCCACTCCTCGCGACATCGGAGGCGGATGCGATTACGGATACGGATACAGATACGGTGTGTAGGATATGGTGTGGAGGTAACAAGTACGTGTTCAGGTGACAGGACACGAAATGACAAAATGCAAAGCCAGTCGAGCCTCTAGCTCTATATAGATTTTTTACATAGTTGTTTGTTGTTGCAATGTCTAATAAAGATAAGTAGTAACTACATCTAGATTAGTAATGAGTAGTAATTGCTATTTACAATACAGCTAAGTATTTAGTTCAGTGTTTCGATTTACTTTTCATCTAAACAATTTACACAAGCTCTGATTGGTGATCTTTTATTTTTTGCCTCGAATTCCGACTACTTGTCTAGAGTTTTAGGTTTTTGTTATGTTTTTTATTAGAAAAGCAAGCAATAGAATTCAAAGAAACTCTGGCAGTGATTCGATTTAAAGTTATTGTATAGTTGAGAGAGCGAATTCGTTGGGCGCACGGTGCGTATGCGTGATTGGTTAATAAAGCTAAGTTTTATTTTACATGGACTGACGACTATTAAGTTTTCAGTTGCTATTTGATTTGATTTGATTTAACTTGATCAGTTACTTACGCTGAACACTCAATTCAAAATACTGTCTGCTTGTGGCTATCAGAAAACAGAATTCGCCTCACGAATTTATCCTAGTTTTATTGTTAGCCTGCCCTGAACTGCGCTCTAAAATTTGTTATTATACATTAAAAGGATAGTAGACATATATGAATGGTGTCTGTTTTGGGGATAAATATTAATTGAATGTAAGTTTTTTAGTTTTAGTTAGGGGGTTTCTTCGATTTCGGATTGGCAGCCAATCACACCTCAGACGCGACGACCAAAACGATGGCGATGGCGACGGCAACGACGACGGCGACGACAACGACAACACGTTTACGGCTACGGTTAACGGCTACGACTACGGTTACGGTTACGGCTGCGACTACTTTGCGACTACGGCACTATGGCTACGGGTTGTTTGTCGTTGAACGGATCACCCAGCTGGTGAGGACTGAGCTTGAACGGCAGGCAGGCGAGCCGTGCTACGTATACGTAGTCGGAATGCAAGCACGTGACTGACTTGGAGCGACCGTTGCACGTTGCTTTTATAAACAGGCGGAGAAGGTGACGGAACTCCTCGGCTCCGGCAAGTCTGGCAACGCCGCTCATGCAATTTCTCTCTCTCAATTTCCTCCCACTCTCGCACTTCCGTTGGCATTCGGCAACAGCTGATTCACGCACACACACACACAAACTAGCCTCCGAGGTTGAGGTTACAGTTATTCTCGCCAAAGGGCTTTCGCCACGCACTGCGCCCCAGAAACGGTAAACGGTAAACAGTAAACGTAAACAATACCGTTGTATTTGCACCGCAAAAAAATGAAGCAGCGAAAGGACAAAGGTCCTGGGGGGGGGCAGGAATAGATTTCGAAACGGATTCCCGTTATTATTGCGGGCCAATATCAAATCATTATCGCCGCACTGACCACGCTCACGTTAATCTACCGCAGGACTAAGCGATGGCAAGGACAAACCTGCCGCTTACTGCGAAGCGGAGAGCGCCAAGCACAATGGTCACATGCGCAGGACTCGAATGTCAGCGCTCAGCTGTTTGACCTACATCCGAGCGCCAGTTCATCTGTACTTTCAAGCGTGCAAACGGCGAAGAGGCAGTGGCCCTTATTACTCGCCCCCGCCACCCACTCTATCTCGGCCATAAAATCCGACCTGAAAGCTACTAGCAACAGGTCCATAAGAAGCTTGGCAAGCTTTCGAGGAAACCTCTTGGGTTCTGGCCTAAACTCAAAGCTTTTGGCCAGTACATTTCCCTCATTTTACCAGAGAAAGCTTTTCACCTTTTTCGAAAAGGTCCTATAGTACTCACCTGAGCTCGTATGGCCGCCAAATGGATTTGCTTGGCCCGCAAGTCGAACTTCTTCATTGACAAATCCTCCTGCAGCTCGTTGACCTTATTGTACAGTTGACCCTCGATACCGCGCGTTTGGGTGCGATTTAAAGCATCAATGGAGTCCTGTGGATGAACATATTATGGATTATATATCATGGTTCTTAACAATATACTTAAGCTCTTTCATCAAAAATGAAACGGAGTAGTCTTTTAAATTTATGTTTATTATCATTTGATTTTCTGTCAACTAAATCATTTATATTTTAAATAAATCCTTTCCAAGAAAAATATTAGAAAAAGTCAGAAATGTCAGAACTAAAAGAAAGGATCAACTTGCTATATATCTGTATCGCTGATGGAGTTAAGAAAAATGTAGAAGGCATCAAACGCCGGCAAATAAACAGCCGCTTTGTTTTTCTAAAAATTGAAAAAAGTTGCAAGCTTATAGCTCTTTTCGAAGCCTTGATGGCGATTTTGCAAATAATCCTTATCGCTCGAAAGGGGAATTACGCACCCAACTCGCCATACTTCCTGTGGGTTCCTGGAGACCGCAAGGGGATGCGTTTACGATCCAATTCTCATTTCACTATCGGACTAAACCTGATTACGATCCTCAATTCTTTTCTTCTATATATTGGCACCATAAGGGTAAGAATTTTCCCATAGGGGTTAATGTTTAAAATACCTTAATGTCTCTTCGACTTTTAGAAATACTTTGTTTGCCTATATCTTTGGATCTATATTACCATTTTTACATTCGCTATGTGCACTCTGAATACCATGATTCGTAACTACACAGCGCAGCAAATATTCCTAGGAGGTATATCATTAAGTAAGTCTTATAGTCTTTTTAAGATTTTTCCCCAAAATAACATTTCTAAACTCTTTTCAGTAGTTGAGTGCTATTGCATCTTTCTTGTTGTTTATTTGATATTAAAATACCACGATCAGTTAGTGGAAACTGAACCGGAAAAGCTTGAAGAACTTGATTCTGACTTTGAAGAATAAAATAATAAATGTCACAGTTCTCTATAAATTTGGGGAAATATTTTCCTGAACTTTTATTAAAAAGACCATAAAGTTCTGTGTTATAAAACATAGTTTAGAATAAAGTTGGAAAACTATATTCCAGGTTTCTGTACTCACCTGCAGTTGGCGTATTTGCAATTCCAATTCAATGGCCTCTCGCTTAAGTGAATCCAGAGCAGAGCGCTGCGACAAGGTGGAGTGTCGGTCGAAGACCAGCTCGTTCCGCAGGACGGGCGTCATCTCCTGCAATGGCCACCCATATCACACACATCAGCTAAATGTCTGGAACAAGTCCTTTTGGTTGGCTACTCACATTGTGGTCACCGGCCTCGTCACCGGGCTCGCCCTGGGGCGGCGCAAAGGGTCGCCGGGGTACCTTCTGGGCCTGCGAGGGCTGGGCCAGCAGGCGGACAAAGTTGAGCAGGTCCTGTTGTGGCGACACAGCGCTGCACTGGTTGGTCAGGCTATTGTACCGTTTAGCTTGGTCATTGGCCTAAAAGAATGGCCATTTGAATACTTTCTCTTCACATATCTTGTCACCTAAATACGCATGCCGGAGACATTTCCTAGACCCATTTAATGACCCCTTTGACCCCAAACACAGGCTCATAACTTACACAGGACCTCCCAGTTTAGTCCCGAGCATTAGGCAAATTACCAGCGCAAATTGCTACTCCGGGCAATTATTATAATCGTGTACAAATTATTTCCCAGGAAACAAAAGCTCTTGCAAAAAATTAACTCGAATTCCAGGTGCCTGGCTAAATTACGCCAGAACCCACATCGTTTATACACAAAAAGAAAATTAGATTAACCTTTAACTTTTTTTTGGATATTGAAAAAACTAAAAAGGAAAGAGGATGCCTTAAATATAACTTTTAGCTTGGAAAGTTACTTAAACTTTTATTTATTCCCCCCAATTATTTGTCCCAGTGTATATACTACAACAACCACCTGCTGCAGTGATAAATCACTCCATAGTGACCATCTACCACTCACCTTGGTGGCAATTACATCGGCGCCCTGCAACAGCGAATCGGACACAATGCCGCAGAGGTCGTTGTGGATCTCCTCCAGCTCCTGCATCTGCTGGGGCAGGGTGTCGCTGTGGTAGGCCTCCAGCATGCCATTGGTGGCATGCAGCTGCTGCACATAGGCGTTGTGCGCGTCGATGTATTCGGTGAGCGAGTGCTGGCTGGGATTCTGTCGATGCGCCATGTGGCACTGCTTGTAGTCCAGTCGGCACTGAAAGGACAAATAAAAGTTGGGTTTCGGTTGTCCAGGCCCCACAAACAATTTATGGGTAATAACGGGAAAAAGGGTAAAAATGGGTCCAAAGTACGGAATTCGAATCCGGAATACGGAATGCTTTGGCAGATGACTTTGTATCTAAACGGGACCACGTTGCGTATGCGTAACGTGCCTCGAACCGAACTTAAAGGGGAAATATTAAAGAGTTTTTAAGTTGGGGAATATTTTGGGAAGCTTGCTTAGGACTTTCACATAATTAGATGGCTTACCTTTGACAGCTTCTCTTCAGTCTTTGCGATAATAGTCTCAAAAGACTCCCTGTGTGTAAATATTTTACGGCTTTGAACTTTGCGATGAAAGGATTTATCCAGCATTGGTCGCGACACCTGTGGGTTGGGTAAATAAATTATGCATACATTAATAATACTCATGTTCCTTTAGAAGGAACCCTCTCCCCCAACCACAGAAAAAACAGCCAAATCATCGTGAAAAATGAAAATTAAATTTTTTGGCCAAACAACCGGGAAAACAAAAATACAACAAAACGAAACAAAGGCAGCACAAACACAGGAGGGAAATAACATTATTCGGCACTCGAAAAACACATGTCATTTCCCAAGCCCCCCAGAGGCCACGCCCCCGACTAATTAACCATAATTAAAGTCTGCTTTTTGTAATGCAAATTGGGAATTTTTTCCGTTGGCTTATTTTCAGACATACGAACACGTTTGCATATGGTTAGTTCAGTCGATCGATGTGGTAACTGGTACGGATTAAATTATAATACATGAATATTGTTAGAAATCTGGCATTTCTGTGTCAAAGTAAAACAGAAGGCATTCCCAAAATAATTTAATTAAAATTGTTTAAGGACAATACTGTATACCAGTATACCCGTAGGCCAGGTTCTATTTTCATTCGGGTTAACTGAATATTTCAGCGGACACGATATGGCCATTAACCCATTTAGCCTTCGAAGTATTTCGGCGACGAAAGCCAAATGACATTTGCAATTCACTTACCTGGCGGGAAAGGACGCTGGCCACATCGTTGCAGGCCTGTGAATCGGTTTCGACCTCCTGCAGGAATGTTTCCCATGCCTGAAAGATGGCCAAGTGGCAGGCGGGTCTGCACGCCACCATTAACCCGTTTCATTTTTAGTTGCCAAAATAAAACTACTCAGTTAACTTACCTTTCTTTGCGTAATTCGGCATTCTTTTTGCGATAATTGGACACTAAAACTTGTAGGGCAGTTGCGTGTTCCTCATACAGACGGGAGAGTGTTTCGGAGAAATCGGATACTGCAATTGAATTAAGTGAATAGTTAATGCCGAAACTAAAAAGAAAACCTATCAAATGATGCAATGTGAGAACAGGAAAGTCACGCTTTATGCGGCCAACACGAATGCATTAGACACGGAATAAAAACGGAAACGGATATACGTATTTCCGGTTAAAAAGCTACTCCAGGACTCAAGGCTGAGCCCGGTATGGGGCATTTTTACTGCCACAGTTTTAAGTAAGATATTCCGCACATGCCCCTTACTTTGTGTTCGAAGCAAACACGACGCACTCAAAGTTTATGTGCGCCGTTAAAGTGATGGGGCAGCCTCTTTAACAAAGTGCGTCTACCCACAGGATAATCCATCATATTTACGATTATTCCGGAATATATGAATATGAATACGTACTTGAAGCCTGGCTTTCACCTTGTTAACCTGCCAGAGTGGGTCGTAAGCGTTTCATGGACCGCTAACAGGCAACCCTTCAACAGGTTGCCAAAGATATTCAAAAGTTTTTCAACTTTAACTTGATCAATAGTTGCTTCACCTGCTTGTCTTATTTCGTATGCAGTTCGGAGCAAAAATGTTATTAAAAACTTTTAATACACCCATACTACATGCACCCTGCCTGAACTGTGAACTATGTCCCGTGGGGACAACTTGCTGTGACAGCACCGTAATTCAAAGTCAAAGTTATGTCGAAAAGTTGCAGCCAGCTGGGCTCCGGCTCTGTGTGTTCTTGTTTTCGGATAAACATACTCAGGAATAAGATGGAATATTTACGAGGCTTTCGCTCCACACACGACAGATTTGTGCCTCTGATACGGTGGCATGACAAAGACAATTGCCAATGGAAATCAATATGCCATAAAAGTGAGACAAACTTATCAAATAAAATGTTTCCACACATAAATTGCTTGCTTGTTTTCCCTTTGCAGGTGTCTAAGCCAAATCCGAAATTTGTCCTGCTGTTTTCCCAGTACACAGAAAGAAAAGTTATACATCTAAGAATATTTCCTAAATATAAAAATCCTTATTCTTTTAAAGCCTCAACCCTTGTAATATAGATTAAATTCATTAATCGTTAATGCTCTTGATTTAAGCCCTACTTTATTTTGAACCAATTTTCTCTCCGTGCCACACGCTTCATTCCAGTGCCACCTGGCGTGCGTGTCAGGTGGCAAGGGTGGCATGTTTTGGGATTTCACCGCCAAAACGAATTGGATATGACTTACACACACTACAGACTACTATATATAGTATACATGTATACGCAACAACATGGCACCAAATAGATTGGCTTTGCTCACCTGTTTTAATTAACTTAAAGTTGACATTGTTCTGGGACTTGAAAGCCTCGTTCAGGCTGCTGTGACTGTAATCCTTGAGCACGCCGTTGTAGGACGCCATGCTGCCCGGGGGGCCAAGGGAACCACGCCGTGGTCCCCTCCACCCGAAGATTCTCCTCCTACGACTTCTTCGACCACTTGAAGATTTTACCGAAGAATCTGGCCATGACGGTACACGGAGAAGGGGGAAGAGGCATATTATTATTTGTCTGCTTGAAGAATGTAATCCATTTTTTATGCTCAAACCAAAAATTAATCAACTCAGAAAACCAAACAATTAAAGAGAGAAGGCAAACAGAAGGCAATGTAAATTTCAAGCCAAAACAAAACAAAAATCCAAACGAAACGAAACGAATTGAATGCAAACAAATGAGATTTTCAAACGAAATGTGATTTGATTTCTGTAGATGTAGATAAAGTATCTGTCAGGAATTATTTTGGACACGCCGTGATAAATACACGAGTCAGTCAGAGTGGGAGACTTGGGCCAAAACACAAAAAAATACCGAAGAAATTCCTACCCTCTTGGCCAATCAAACAGATCGCTGCCTTTTGTATTTATGCATAAATAATGAGCGAAGGCAGCACTTCCACTTTCCCGCTGTCCCTCGTCTTTTATTTTCTTTGCGTTCTATTTTCATTTTGGGCCAAGGCGGAAAATTCGAGAGTTTGTGTCTAAGACAGTGCCCTAAGTCCAATCCCCATTACCAGAGTCAACACGGGGAGCTATACAGTTAAGGTCGAAATTGTAATGATTTATTAGAGTTCGGAAATATTTTTCCATAAGTCATATGTAAAGGAACACTTTTTAAATGCTTGAAAAAAGTTTTTAATGTTCATTACTTTATTAAAATCTCGAAAAAATTAAAACAAGTGCCAGTATTTGTATCGCAACTGTTGTCTGGTAACTTCCTTCGGTTTGTTGGTGTTTCATTGGCCAAAGTCAGGCCAGGCAAGCCAAGGCAAGGCAAAGAAAGGCAGATGGAAGTCGGTTCATTTAAAATTCAATCAATAAATGAAGCGTAATTTCATTGCCGCGCGTCGAGAGTCGGCAGTCGAGATTTTGTTTGAACACATTCGCAGTTAAAAAGACTCGAGGGCCCCTTCTTGCGTGGGTTTTGTGATTGTTTCGCCCATATTCCACCCAATCAACCATTATCGTCCATCTTAACCGAGTGTCTGTCCGGGTGTCCGAGTGTCCGCCTGTCCGTCCATCTGTCTAACTGTCGCTGTTGATTTAACTCGGAACCCGCTCACACGAGGATCAATTACTTCTGGCGGAGCCACATGAAATATGCAATAGTAGGTGCATTGCATTGCCCAAATAAGTATGCTATAGAAATTATTAAAGGACATAGCCAGCCTGCCAGCCAGCAGCTGCATGAAACGCCAAGCTGTTGTATCCTTTTAACCAAGTCCTCGTCCATGTCCTGACCAATTTGAAATGGGGTAAACAAGGCGTGTCCGAGATTGCCAGAAGTTAGTCGCTGCGGCGATCACGTAGCTCTTGATTTACTTTGCCGCTGGTCCTCAAATTTGCCGCGCTGTGAACTTTTAAATGAATTCGAGTGGGAGGTCCTGCTGCTGGTGGTGGCTTTAGTGCTTTTGAATGGTTGGGTGGGCATGGCATGGATGGCTGGGATGGTTCTGGTGGTGCTGGCTCACGTGCCAACTGCAAGGATGTCGTTATCGCTGTTGTTGATTACACTTCACGCGCTGCCAAGCTGACATTCATTTCGGGGCGACAGTTCCAGTCTCACAGGCAAAAGGATGTCCTTTGCTCCGCCAGCTGTTTCCTCCTCCTACCCAGCTCCAGCAGCTCAAGGAACAAAATTATGTGCGTGCTTGCATTTGGAGAACGCGCCAAAGGCACGCAATGCAGGTGCAGTTCGAGGTTCAGTGGCAGGTTCCCTGCATCCCCGGGTACAGGTAATCCAATTATGCATGCGAGGAGCACCTTTCGGCCCGACTCGAGCGATAAGTTTGCTGTTTTGCCGTACGATGGATATGCAGATGGAAATGGGAATGGGCGGGCACAAAGTCAAGCATCCGAGGCACTTTAAGACTCGCCTTTCACTGCATTTTGTGTGTTTTATTTTTTTATTTTTTTTTAGTACTAAAAAGTTAACCAAGCAAGGACAGAACAAGAATGGGGAAGCGAACTCTGGCAGAGCCAGAGGTTGCATATCCTTGAAAAGTGCATAGGAGAATTTTCATTGCTTTCTGCACGCTTTTGTGCTTTCTAACTCTACTAAGTAATCCAGATTTGATTGCCGTGTTTGGCTTTAAGAAAATAAAGTATTAACAATGTAACTTAAAAAATCTACAAGCTTGTGTTTTCTTTTCCAAGCCGATTGCCAGACATTGTTACGGAATTTATAGTTTCTGGTTATAAATTATTTTTGAAAAAATGAATAGAGTATGTATCTCTTTCTCAAGGACATGTTTTGTTTTAAATGCAGGACTTTAACTCAACTTCTAACTTGAACAAAACTCAAACGGCGATTTTGTAACTTGCAGCAGATGTAACGCTTTTGCTTTCAATATTTGGGCATGTTTTGGATTTCTCTTTCTTTTAACAACTTATTTATTAATTTTTAATTTTAAATATTTTTTTAAGAATTTAAGAATCTAATATTAGTTGAAAATAGAAACCCAAACATGCCCGGCTGTTGCATGTTATGGCGATCAACTCAAAGGTTGCTCTACGAGACGCGCGCGGCTCAAACAACTGTAAACAATTCGATTAGCAGGTGCAAGAGTAGACTTGGAAGGCACCTGTCACCTTTGGAGTGTGCTCCCGAGGTACTGCCTCCGCCACCGCCGCCCGCTGAGTTCGATCCACTGGCCACCGCTCCTCCGCCGCCGCCGGCGCCATCGCAATGATCCGCACTGCGGGATCTAGCGGCAGCCATCCTTTCGCGCTCCTCCCGCGGTGACCTGGCAAAAAGACTTCCACTGCCCCCGCTACTGCCGCCCTTTCCCGCCGGACTCCGCGTCCTAGGCGAATCGTAGACACCCGCATAGTTCTCCAGGGGCGGCGAATAGCCCCTCTCCGTGGGGGCACTGCCTGGTGTGCGGGGCTGAACCTTGATGACAGGTTCGCGTGCCTCGAAGAATGCATCAAAGTTGTTTTGGCGCAGGTTCTCGCTGCTGAAAACCGGATTCTCCACATGCACGTGGACGTCCTCGCGCAGGCGATTGCTCTCCTTCGTTTCCGAGGAGGCGGAACGACCCAATCGCCCCAGCGGCAGATGCAGCTTGGGACGGAGGCGAGACTTGCCAGTGGGGGACTTACTCCCGGAGGAACTGCCAAAGGACTTCTCCGGCGGCAGATCCATGGGTGACATGGGCCGGCCCCATCCTGGACCAAAGTGGGCATGGGTGGGATCCGGAGTGGGTGGCTCCAGGAAGATGCTGGGACTCCGGGATCGGTGGTCGCCATAGCCTATTGCAGCGGCTCCCTGCTCCTGCTCCTCGAACGCTGCGCTGCTGCGCTGGAATGGTGCTCGTCCTGATCCAGAGGCGTTGTTTCCATCATTATACATGTGGTGGTTCCTCCGCAAGCTGCTTCGCTGGCTGGAGTTATGGCTATTGCAGTGGGTCAGTGAGGCGCGGGAGGTACGGCGCGTGGGCGTGGGCGGCAGGCTCTGGGACTCGTTTTGAACCACCGGGGTCGGCGCCTCGAAGTTAAAGAAAGTGGTGTGGATTGGCGGGGATCCTGGATAAGAAGCCGGGGATGTTGGCGATGGTAATCCGGGATACAGCAAAGGTGGCGAAGGTGATGCTGATATAGGAGATCCTGATATATCCTGGATGGCAATGGGTGGAGTAGCCTCGAAATGGACTACGGCGGCGGCGGCGGAACTTGGATTATTATTGGGTATTGTAGCTGGATTGGTGCTTTTGATGCTTTTGTTCTTTGGCAGGGATCTCTCCGGAATCTCGATGGGCACCTGGGGCTCACGTAGACAGTCGAGTGTGGGACGCGGTTTCACTCGGGGCGCAAAGAAACCATATGTCATACAGATGAGCTCATCTGCGGGATATATTACGTACATTCCTCACAGACCCCATGTGGCATGGTGGCACTAGGCTAAGTAGATCTCTTCCTGATACTGGTTGGCCTTTCAAACACTACTAAGTCTGGCTTCTAGGGTTTCGGCTAATGTCTTTTCGTTTAATGTCCTCCTATTGTTCTTTTATTTAATTTTATTTCAGTTAGCAGTGCTGTCAGCTGTCTGTCTTTTGTGGGTTCTTGTCTAACTAAAGTGCACTAACAAAACAATATTCGTAATAGTTTATAATGTCTAGGATTGTGTCTAACTAGGGCTAAGTTAACGTACTTCCTGCTACTCGGATTTATCACAAACTGAGTTCAAGTTGAATTTATTTCTTTGGGACGTGTTGTCATTTGGTGCGCTGCATGTTGCCGATGCTTTTGCAAATCTGGTGCTGCAAATGAAAAATAGAGAATAGAACAAGAAATAGATTAATTAGACGTAATTACGGAGGTGCTGCAAAACACATTTTTGGAAACACAGAAACAAAAGTTTGGCCACAAAACTCAGGCTCGAGCTTGGGTGTTGGGGCGGCCGCCTCATTAAAAACATTTCTTTGTGTCGGTCAGTCATTCATGCGAGTACTTTGCGCTCATTAAATTGTTTCGTTTCACTCGGAGAGCAGAAGTTGCTCCTCCCGGTTCAGGGTCAGGATTTGGGTCAAACTTCGGGCTTCCTTTGTTCCTGTTGGCCAACAAAAAGTTTTTCAGGCCAGGTTAGCATGGCCAAGGCCGTGCCACAAGTTCTCAATGGAGTCAGGTGCTTAACTGTACAAATGCACTTGAAAAAATCCCCACTAGAATAGATTATATTTCAAAAAACAGGACTTGAAAGTCTTAAACTTTTTTTTAAGCCAATTGTTTTTTTTTATTTAAGGTATGATACAAAATGTGTAGTAGTTCTTCTATGCTAATGTATACAAATATTTAATGTCGAAAAGCTGTAGCACAAATTAACAGAAATTCCCAATGACAGCCTGGGCTCAAAGTTTCGCAAAGTCCCCCAACCACCACTGACGCCGAAACACCACTACCGAAGCCACCCGGTCACCCAGCCACACCACCCACTAAGCTGGTGCGTGTTGAAGCCTTTTGTGTTGTGGGTTGTGCGTCTTGTGTGTGTGTGTATTGGGCGAGCAAATTACGAGCTCACCACATGCAAGGCTTATTATTATGCCATTTTATTGGCCAATCGATGGGCCCATATCAATTAAATTTGCATTAAATATTCATGATAACCGATGGTTGCACGGCGCTTTAATTATCGGATCAGTATTAACTGGATGAGCGATTATAGTTGGTCATTATTGGGTTGTCTTGTCGGACAATGGATGGTTTTTTAAATTAAAACGAAGTTTGAAGGTTTATTTTCTTAAGAATTCTTTTAATTCCTATTAGAGAACTGAATAAGTCCTATTAACAAATGTCTCAAGCATACAATTTTAAACATGCAAAGAGCCTTAGCTGCCACAAATGCTCTTTTAATTGGAATTCAGTGAAACCTGCACTGTAGAATAGCATTATGTACTTACAATTTGCATAATTGATATACAATTGATACTGACCCAATAAAAATCACTCGATCCAAACGCAAATGCGGTCAAAATACAGTGCCTTGGCCGGCATTAAAAACGCATTACACGAACGGAAAAGTGGCAAGAGGAAATCGGGTGAGATTAAATTCATTTGAGGCAAGAGGCAGAGACCTTGCGTGTGCGTATGTGAAAATGAGGAAAAACCCAAAAAAAAATAATACAAGAAAATATAAAACTTGTAAGAGGAATGCAAGATGAAGAGCCCGAGGGGCTGCCAGTGAGGATTTATTTCAGCAGGTATGAGAGGTATGAGGAAAAGCAAAGCCAAGACAGAAATTGCATTTCATAAATACGTGCGAGGAGGTAGGAGGCTTGTGGCAAGGCAAACCGAAAAGAAATCACGCAATTTAATTCAATGTGAATTATTTATTAGCTGCCAGATAGGGGCGGGCGCATGAATAATTCTCCCCCATCCTGTTTAATGTGCGGGGTTGAAGGTAGAAGCGTGGTATGCTAAGGTTTCAGAAGAGGAGTGTTCAGAATACTGTAGGGGGGATTGGCTAAAAGATGGAACGATGACACTAGCCCACGCAAATATTTCCCTTTCATCCGACTCACCCACACCCACAGCCACACACACTCCACGGATAATTGAATTGTTTTGCTGCACTTTACCAGCTCGTTAAATCTGTCAACATTGATCAATCAAACCAGACGAAAGCCAAAGGGATGGCAGGGAAAGTGGACGGGTGTCCTCGCAGCCTCACAGCCTGGCGCCAAAGTGAAAGTTTTTCCATCCTCCAGCGTGAATTGGGCTTAAAGTTATAAGGCAGCCAAAGGAAGCAGGGGAATTTTCCTCTGCATGCGACTGGCATTTTAAAAGCCTTTCCCCCTCTCAGCACCAACAAAGGAAAACAAACTGAAAGCAATTTTGCGAAAATGCAAGCAACTGACTTTAGAGACAAAAAGGCAAAAAAAAACATACACAAAACTGGCACAGAGTAAAAACTACACTTTGAGTAACAAGTTATCTCTGATATGACAGAAGTCCATATTAAATATGAAGTAATGTTTGAGGCCACAACATTTCTCTCCGTGACTCAATTCTCATCAGTGTTATTACTGCAACTGTGCAGCTGTGTCATAAAAGTTGAAGCGGTAACTATATTAAAATTAATTAACTACAAAAAACATTATCATTCGGGAGCTGGGAGCTGCAGAGCAATGGCACAAAACAAGGAAACAGCCAGCAAACACAATGTTATAAATAAACAAGCAGACAAAAACGCCCTCTGCACTCTGTCCTCCGCCCTCGGTTGGATGCCCCCAGATTTTGGCAAGCGGAATTGGCCAAGATGCCGAAAAGATGCCCAGGAAAAGCCGGCCAAGAAGCAGCATCACTACAAGAGGAAGCAAACTTGACTCAAGTGCATTGTCAAGGCGGATGAACCAGAGGAGCAATGTGAAGGCGCCCAAGCGATGCCATGCCATGCGATGCAATGCAATGTATCGCAATGCAATGCGATGCACTCGGACATAGACATACATAATTACATGGCAGTGAGCCCAGAAGACGACGACGATCCACCACATATGTATATTTAAATTTGAAAGAAAAAAAACATATGTATAAACGGGTGTATTATAGTGTGTCTGCATGCCGAGTTATTTGGTGCTGGCTATGAGAATACAAATTAAACAAATTCTTTGAAACATGCAAGGGAAGAACACAAAACAAGCAAAGATCAAGGTAACTTTTGAACCCTGGACCCTAATGAAACATAAAATCAAAGGGATATCTATTTAAGTACTTTCATTGATAAACTTCATAGAGAGTTATTTTAATTTTTTGAATTTATTTTGTTGGGTTTACTGTGACACTGAAAATAATATAATAGAAATTCTTTTGAAAAACAAAAGAAACCCTGAAATAAATACAAGGCAATCAAGGCAATGTTTAATTTAGATCAAAACACAAAAATATATTATTTAAAATAGTCTCTAAGTAAGTAATTCTTCAGGGCCGTTCCCTAGCTAATAACTCAATCAATCAAACCGTGAAAAGACCATTGTAATATGGCCAACAATGCCAGTTGTGTGTGTGTTTGGGCAAATTTCTTTGGGCCATAATTCCCGGTAATGCCCATACACATTGAAATGAGAAAAAGCATCAAAAGCAGATGCAAAGATACAAAGATACAATGATACAGGTAGCATAGACTTGAGATACTTATGCAAAAGGAAATTAAGGAGATGGAGCTGCTTGTATCTTGATGGAGGAGTATTGCGAGCTTGGCAAACAAAGCTGTTGAAGAGAGTAAACTCAATTTATGAGGAAAGCGTTCCGGGAGGCAGCAGCAGCAGCAGCATCAGAAGCAACACAAATTGCGTATCCGCAACGTGGTCCTCATACAGAGTTAGCAGAGCAGCAAACCGGCTGCCGGAGGGTGGGGCATTCAGATGGATCCCCACACGAATGAAAATTTAGTCTGCCAAAGACTGGCAAACCAATTTCTACCTTTTTAGGACCAGACAGCCAGTCAGTCAGTCAGCCAGGGTCGATAGATACATTAGGCTAATTAAACAGAAGGTGAAAAGGCAGAGAAATCCCGTCCAATGGTGTGCACTGCACTGAATAATTTCCATTACACCAGATTACTAAAAATAATATAATCAAGTGAATAAAAAACCACAACTAATTTAATATTTTGCACCACATGAAAGCTAACCATTCGTGTGAAATCGACAAAAAAGTACTCACCGCTTAGGGGCTATTATAGAGCCTCTGAGTTCTTTTGAAGTCGCTGGGCTGACATTTCTGTTTTTCACTTTATATTAATTAAGTACAAATATTTATTTGTTACCACAATGCTTTCGGCGTTGGTTCGCACGCCCAATTGTTTGTTTTCGGGGGGATTTTCAGAGACTTTCTGAGATTGGCTTTTGGGGTTTTCAAGGGCTTTGTTTCGTTTCGTTAGAGTCGCTTTTGAGTTTTTAGTTGCAGTTGCTGCTCGCACTTTTATTATTTATTTATTTATGTTTTTCCTCATGTTGCACGCACACAACAAATACCGATATTCATAATAATAATAATAATAATAACAACAACAGGAACTAACGACACTCGTTGCTGCCGATCGACGACGAATTTAGACTGAGACTCGAGCAGCTGTAAGCATTGAAATATTTTGACAATTTTTGTTTGGGTTCCGCCTCTCTTTCTTCTTGCTGTGCTTTCTCGCAATTCTCATGGCTGCCCGACCAATGTTGCCACTGTTGTTGCTGATAGTGATGTTGCTGTTGCTATTGCTGTTCCTGATACTGATGCTGGCTCTTAGCATGTTGCTACTGTTGACATTATCATTCCGCTTCCATTTCGCTCTTGTTTGCCCAATTCTCGTCCAAACACACACACACACACACACACCGAGCTATAGCCACACTCTAGTGCTCTTGATTGCCTTGGGTCAACGCGGCGTATGCGCTATATGTTTTTTATTGCTTCGGATCAGCCAGACCAGTTTATACCGCATCCGTGACGTAGCGGCCCGAGTGGCTGGGCGCTTATCCAGCCAATGACGTCATAGTTGCCACCGCTGTCACAGCTGTCACGCGCAGAAAGTGTTCGAACACTATTTATAGATGCACGGCCTCTGCCTCCGCATCTGCGGCGGCTGCTACTGCCGCTCCTGCTGCCGCTGCCGCTGCTGCTGCTGCTAATTTTTGCAAGTGTTTTTCTTTGCGCTTTTCTTGGATCGCATCTGAAAATAGAAAAGCAGAGGGTGAGATGAGGGAAGAAGGTGAACAGCAGAAAAAAAAAAGAAAAGAAAATTGTCGTTGTTGTGTGAAGCGAAGCTCATTGAAATGTTTGCGCGTACTCAATTTTTATTCGCATCTCTATATAGTATGTATGATTCTATATATATATGTACATACAGACACTTATATATACTCGTATATACTCGTAGATAGCAATCGATGGCAACCAAACTGTGATTACTCATACGCCCCCAGAGCCAGAGCCGTCAAGCAGATGCGAAATGTGCGAAATGCAAATTAAATTGCATACAAATGTTTTCAGAATTCACGTATTCACTGCCGCTGGCTCAAATTTGGCTCAATCAAAGTATCAATTATTATTTATGAGCCATCTGAAGAGCTTTAAATGGCAAATGTAAAACATAATGAATTGTGACACTTTTCTGCGTGCAACAAAGTGCTTCTGGTTTCCAATTTCCCCTCGAATTGCTACAAAAAAATACTATATTGAATAGGCTTACTAAGCCAATGCTATTTGAGTTAATTTACATAAATTTAAGCACCTATTAGACACTAATAAGCTGCCACAAAGCCTGGCACTGGCACTTGAGCATCTCCATCTCGAATCTGTAAGCCGGAACATAGTATTTCTTGGAAATAATTAAGGGACCTGCTCTGATTTTCCACCTTTGCGCCTCCCCATTTGCCGTTCGATTTAATTAAATTACAAAGTGTCGAGCGTTTGATGTACAGTTTGGCTTTAATTGCATTAAATCGCTCAATGTGTTAACGACATCTGACAGAACTTTTCCATTATCCTTTTTTTATTCATCCGCGATAAGGCGGGCTGGGACCAGGAGCATTGGGATTGAAGGGCGACGGCCTCGTGTCGAAAATGGGTCCCCGGTGGTGATGTGGCTGGGCTTGGACCCTGGCAGATGAAGCAGCGACCATTACTCCAAGGAAGGCCAGAAAAATCGCTCCAAGATTGAGTTGCATCTTTGCTCAGTGTCTTTCGATTGATTGATGCTTTGAGCAGTGAGCTTGTCGAGCTTTTATAGCCAAGTCCCAGACAAACGAGTCGCAGATTGGGGACTTTTTATTTGAGTTTCTGCGATAAGCGTCAGCAGCCGAATGAATGACGGCCAAATGTCAGCCGAGGGCAGCTAACCGATAGTGGCCTGGGGGTTCCAGCCCTCACGGGGCATCCCACGGAGACGGATTATCGCCCGAGACTACGCGTCGTGAAAACTAAATGTAAATATCACATTTCTTGCTGAATATTTATGTGTGTTTTCTTTGGAGCGGGGTGGTGCTTTCTTTTTACCTAAAACTAGGTTTTCAGCGCCTCGCTGTTTTTCTGCATTGCAAATTTTTGTAACAAGAATAACGGCCACAATTCAGAGACATCTTCATCAAGGGTGGGGCCACACCCAGCTACCGCCGACAAGTGCCGCCCTACTGCTTCTCGGGCATCACAAGGAAAAAACTAAATAAATTAGCTATACTTTTTCTCGTTCAAAAATGTCACAAATCTCTAAAAACTGTTTACTAGGAATAGTTTGAAAAAAGGTGAAATAAAGATAAGTATTTAATATTCAAATTTAAAAGAATTTATTTTATAACATAGTCTTTAGCGGAAGATATCAAATGCCTAATCTGAACGTCTAGTTTAATTATTGACACAATTTAAATAATATGATTTAAAAAAAAAAAAACAAAAATTTTTCCAAGTGCCTCCTCCAAGAAAAGTGCTTGGCAGGAGCCAGGGCACACGACAAGGAATAAGGAGGTGTTGCAAGAGTGCAGCTGATGCCCCACAGCAATTGCCCCTTGGCTCGATTAAAGCACTTTGTTAGTTTTCTTACAGCAGCTTTTGCGGCCAAAAAGGGGTGTTCAGTGTTTGTTGTTAGTTGTTGCTTGTTGGTTGTGCTGTTACCCTTTAAATAGCTCGTCTGACATTTTGAGTAATTTTCCACTTGCATTTTATTAGAAGTAAGAGTGTGTTTGTGTACCAACTTCTCAGACTTGAAAAGAGGTTATATTCATGCCTCATTAGGCTTTAAAAACTCTTGACTTAAGAGGGGTATGCTAGGAGGGGACAACTGCGTTGATTGACGTAATTTCCGGTCCATCAAGTACGCAAATCCAGACCAAAAATAGACAAACCAACCCACCAAAGGTGGAAATTAAACATAAAAAGTCTTGTTTATCAAAACGACTTGAATTGATTTCTGGCGCTTTCGAAATCGGTTTAGATGTTCCCTTTATGTTCTCTTCGGCAGCAATAAATCAAAAAAATCAAACGGAATTCCAAATAAATTTAATCCATTTTCATGGTTAGCTTTTGGGGAAAGGCGCATTAAAAAATAAATGTTTGGAGGAACTGGCGCGTAAACAACTGAATAGATTCCAAATGTAAACAGTAGGGAGACAGGCAAATTGAGGCATTAGTCAATCAATCATTTCTGTGGGACGTTTGAAGGGGTAATGGTTGGGTTACCCTGGTAATGGCGAAAAGAAACGTTGACTTTCCACCAAGAACTAGGCTAAGAAAAGCGAGCTTAGTTGGGCTAAAAAAAAAATAAGGGAAAAATGTAAACTTTTCCTCTGCCATTTCGCTTGGCATTCATTTCGTAGCTGCGCCTGACATTTTGAAATGTTTGTTGCAAATCGCTGTTGAGGGGGCTAAGCCAAAGTGCCACGCCTCCGCCCCCGCCGCCTGCGGGGCTAACGACCGTAACAAGAGTAACCGCCCAAGCAAAGCCTCCTGCCTCATCCTGCCCCTCAAACCAAAAAAAATATGAAAATGTAGTAAGAAAACATTTTGGGCAAAAAAATCGCAGAGCTATGAAAAGTTGAATTTTGAGCCGATAAGAGCCCCCAGATGGAGGCAATTCAATTGAAAACATGAAATGTTGTCAACCTGCAGAGTGGCGGAAAATGTTTTCGCACCGTTCCTAGGAAACGGATACTACCTCGAAGGTGAAACACTCGACAAGTTCTTTGAGCCAAATCGATACGGCCTTGACGCTTCGCTGACAGCTGACAAATCATTAAAAAATAAATTCTAATTATGTGTGAGGCGCAAAAATATTATTATGCAAAGTCATTATGAAATCCGCGCCAGTTCATTGTTTGCAAAATCCAAAGCGAAAAAAATATCAAAGAATTTCTAAGAAGGCGACAGCTGACGGACAAAAGTTTTTATCAGTCAATAAACCTACGTTAATTGGATGTTGCGAACAATTTGGACCCAATAAAATTATTTTTACCTACTAAATTTCAATAAATTTCTCACACAGTCAGTCGTCTCTCTCACCCCTGGCTCGTTGAGGATTTTGTTTATACGTGTGCTGGATAAAAAGATTAGGGAAACATAATTGGTATACGTTCTAATTGTGTCTTGACAGCTTAATGGATTTTGGCTTAATAGGTGAAGGTTTCCAGGGGGCCCGGTGCTTTATCCTAAAATTGTTTGTAATTTAAAAACTAAGGAAACTACTTTAAGGCTATTCAAGTACACATGATATATGAGTGTAAAGCCATCAAAAGCACACACATACCCATAGAAGTAATTTTGAAAGTTAACATGTTGGATGGGTTTTCGGGTTTATTATCGGCATCAAGTTCATAATTCAGGTGCTACTCCGTCGGCCCAATGAAATGCTGGCACCTGGCAGCAAATGCTCTGAAATGCAAAAGTAAAACCTGCCCAGAATAGGCATCCTCGTAAATATGCATTTTGCTCTGGCGGGGCACAATCATAAATAAGCTCAGAGGAGCTACCCGCCGTTCCGCCCACCAATTGGTAACCTGAAGCCAAGGCTATGCCTGGAAACTGGAATACAAAGTTCATTAAATACGTATGAGTGAGGGACTAGGAAAGACACAAAGATACAAAGATACTGGGATACTGGGAGGACGAGAGCCGGGCGAGGCACTAAATGCCAGTTCCTCGTCCCAAAAATGGCTGCCATAAATGCGCCAGCTCATTTCGAAGGGAAATGGAAGTTGGAAGTTGGGGGGTTTTGGGAGCTGGGAGTGTTGAGGGTTGGGACTTGGGGGAATGGAAATGAGGTAAATGCTTCTGTTCCTGCCCAGGTCCTGCCCCAAATGTTATTCAGACAAGATGAAGCACTTAGAAATACGTTGTGCCATGTCAGCATCCTGGCGAAGTAGGAGCCGGAGCAGCAGCTGGAGCAGGAGGAGGTGCAAATGGGAGATGGCGGATGGAATGGGTATTCACGTCGCTCAGGGGTATCACATTCGCTTTGTCTATGCCGGAGGTCTCTCGCACTCCGGACGGACAGGTGATAATGAACATACTTAGCGCTGCTCACACTGCCGCACATGTTGCTATTTAAGCAGTTAATGACGCGTTTAAAGCTAAATGCCAGCCACAAAGCCTCCTCGGCTACTCTTTTATTAACTTTGCAATTTCTTTAACGGCCCTTTTCCAGCTTGCCCCCAGGCTTCCCTTGTGGCAGGAGCAACAAATGCTTTTGTCTCACAAGGGCATATTTGTTCTGGCAATATTTGTCTCCCAGAATACACAAATACTTCCTAAAACAACAAGCCCACTTGAAGAGTGGCAATTCGCGCGAATGCTGATTTGAAATTTTGTGGCAAAGTTACATTCACTTTATTATTCATTCAAAAAGCTGCCAGGCATCCTGAGATGCCATTCAAAGATTAATGTATTCAAATTAAATGAAATTATTACCATTACAATCAAATTATGTATTTTCTTACATACATAAATTCATTTTAAATGATGAATCGCCTTTTCAAGTTGTAAGGAAATTAAATTTCCAAATAATAAAAAGTAGAAACTCTACACTAAGCATCAGAAAGATAAACAAACAAGCTATCCTACAGGATATCAAAAAATCCTTACCGAAAACCTATAGTTTTCGTTTTTGAGACATTTGTTTGCTTGGGCAACCTCGCGGAAAACATATCTGGTTACGAAGTTAACGTATCTATTGACATTGTTTTGCTTTCGCGGCATGAACAGAACCCATAACTTTTCCTTAGCCATCCTGACAGTTAATCAAAAAGCCGTCGGTGCCAGCGGGGGACTGGGCTAGACAATAAAACGAGATCTGGCCCGGAAAGTGAGCATATCACTCAAAAATTCCACCTTTTGCTAGTCAGAGCAGCCTCTCATGGCTCACAGGCTCGAGCTAGAAATTCGATTTGGCCTTTATTGAGCTGCTTTGTGATTGCCACACGTCGCAGGCCTGGCAGGACGTGCTGCCTGCTCTTTTTTTCTCACATTCTCCCTCGGCCTCTCAAAAGGCAGCAAAACCAGCTTAAACCACCTGGCATGTGTCAGAGGGCATACAAAGTGCCCAAAAATCATGGCACAAAAGCAAGGCCAGGGCAAGGCACAATGTGCTCTTTGTTGGTCATTTTTACCCCACAGCGAAGGGAGGGGGCCAGGTGATTGTTTTGTTAGGCGGCGACAGTGCGTATACGCAATGCGAGAGTGTATGTTACGTATACGCCGTGTTTGCCGTGATGGTTAAAGCCAGCGTAAATCTAATTAAATTTCACCCAGCTGGGCAAACATTGAAGCGGACACTTGTTGGCATACGAAATTTTCGAGGGAAGCCCCGAAGTCAAACAACAGAATGGCATCGATAGCCATCGGGGAAGTTTACATCTGGCACACTCCTGGGGATTTTGTGTGAATAATGTTAAAATGACAGGAATGAGACATGTTGGCGGGGTTTCGGTTGCCAGTTGTTTTTTTGCGGCCTTTAGTGGCCATTCTGCAAGGTGGTTGTTATTAGCATGCCATCAACATCATCATCATCGCCGGCTGGGGCGGCAATTCATGTGAAACGTGCTCAAGTGGGCACGGTCGCGTGTCTCTCATTATTCCCTCAAGACCCCAACAGTCTCTGGGCACTGCGAAATGTTTTCATTTTCGGTTGGCTACGCTGGCTTCTACACAACACACACACTGTGTTGTGTGTTGAAGAAGAAACACGAATCGGGTCAGAGACAGCACCAACTTGAAAGTCACTT